ACTAATGAAGCGGTCCATCTGAACGCAAGAGGTTGACAGGCTTTGCGGGTGATGTTCACAACACAACACAACACATGCAGGCAAGTTTCAAGACGTCAGGATTATCATAACGTTGTATATCTCCTGTTCCTTCACCTTTTGTACAAATTCCTCCAGTTCCTTCAACTTCGACACAGACCTGGTTTCTACCGTTGTCAACCTTCTCAACCTTTCAAGCATGTTAGCCCACGTGCAAACTTTCACATCCAGTTGTTTGCCCAACGTGTGTGGAGACAAGCAGCACTCTCTGCAAGGGCGGTTCGATGATCTTGACCATCTCGTTCCTGATGGTGTGCCAGAAATCAAACGGACCAGGCAGGACGCATCATTGAGGCATCCAGTTCCTGACATTGTACAGTGCTCTCATGGCTGCTTCAAAGCCATGCTTGGAAGTATAAGCAATGAAGGCGTGAGTCTTGAACTCGTCATCCTTCAAGAACCTTGAGATGATGGCCCACTGCAGGCTGTTGCACACGTGTGCCTCGCGCTCCCAAGTCACAGCCGCTTCGCGCAGCGCCCTCTCGACGCTTATCTCGTTCATGAGCTCTTCAGCCATGTGAGGGGCCCGGACATACACTAGCAGTGAACGGCCTACGACTACCGCTTGATGAACTCCTTGCACATCCAACGCCACCTTCCGTGCTTCCTCAAGCAGGTCCATGTTGAAGCGAGCCCTGTAAGCGCGCTTCCACATGATTGGGAGCTGGACCTTGTACTTTGAGACCTGAGCCCGGTCGGTGTCCATGATGCATGCGACGTGACAGCTCTTCAAAAACGAGGGGGGCGCCATGGAAGTCTTGTTTCAACACACTCCTAAGTGCCTTGTGATTATATCTTGCCTGCTAGTAGGAAGGAGGATGTCCTTCAATCTCTATGCCAATACCCTGACGGCTAATGGGCTGACCGTTCCTTCGGGAACTGTGAGTCTGCCAGCTGGGTCTGTCTCGGCAGCATCCCTCTCCGGCGTGCTGGCATCCTCAAACATCCCCAACTTGTCTGCCTCAAATCTGACTTCGGGGGTCTTCTCTGTGGGTTCCTTTGGCACTTCTGTGACGCCAAATGCAACCAACGCGTTTTCCCTGGGGACATCCTCGAGTCAGTGGTCAAACGTCTTTGCAAGTACCGGAAACTTCAGCTCAAACCTCTCAGTGACGGGCCTCTTGACGGCATCCAACGGGCTGACTGTCTCAGCAGGCTCCGTTTCATTGCCGAATGGGTCCATTACGGCCTCCTCAGTGGGCAACATACCCGCATCCCAGATCACTTCAGGCGCGTTTTCGGTGGGCTCGTTCGGTAGTACGAATATCAGCACTACCGGAACCCTGGGGGCTGGGGCCCTGACTTGCACGACCATCAGCACGGGAAACAGCAACATCAATGCCGGCACGGGGTCGATCACCAGTGGGCAACTCAACCCGACGTCGAGTGCTACGTATGACCTGGGTGCTTCTGGAATCACGCATATCTGTCGGGAACGATAACGGCGAGTAATTATGTCGGTCTGCAGCGGAAGGTGTGGAACGCAGGGGCGCTCGGAATCCAGTCCATAGCGGCCAACAGCTACTTCAAACAGGCAACTCTGCTCGATAGCGGCAACACTGGCAGCGCACAGGGTCTTCGGATCGTTGGACAGCTCGGTGGTTTCGGGAACTCGCAGACGGCGACGATCGACTGCACCATAGTCTCTCGAGGCAACTTTTACGTGCGAGGCACGATCCAAGGCTTCATCTCAGGGGCCAAGCAGCACGCTGATATTGTCGTGTACATAGAGACAAACGGGCAGTACAGCGTCTACTATTACAACCCCGCACAGTTCTCGGTATGGGACCTCAGCATCGAGGGGGGCTTCGGTACGACCCTCTACGAACCCACCTCGACGGCCAGCACAGCTCCAACCGGCACCCTCGTGACATCCTCGGTCCTGAGCCTCTTAAATATGCAGTCAGAATTCTCTTCGGGCACTGTCACCACTGCCTTCAACAACTTTTCATTCTCAGACTCTGCAGTCTCGGGCAACCCCACGTGGACTGTCATCGGTTCATCCAATTCTGGTGCCATTCTCAGTGGCAGCATCACCAGCGGGCAGCTCAACCCATCAGCCACGGCAACATGCGACCTGGGGGCGTCCGGTACCGCGTGGAGGAATGCTTACCTCTCGAGCAATATCAGCGTAGGTGGCTCTATCACTGGATCCAACGGCCTGACAATCTCTGGAGGGACAGTTTCTCTGCCAAGTGGATCTATATCGGCCTCTTCTGTCGGAAATCTCCCTGCATCTCAGATTACTTCGGGTACGTTCTCGGTTGGCTCGTTTGGTGGCACGAATATCAGCACTACGGGAACCCTGGCAGCAGGGGCTAGCACTCTGGGGGCACTGACTTGCACAACCATAAGCACTGAAAACAGCAACATCACCGTGGGAAGTGGCTCCATAACGAGCGGTCAGCACAATCCCACTGCTAATGCGACTTACGACCTGGGCGCCTCTGCGACGGCATGGCGGAGTGCTTACCTATCCAGCAACCTGTCTGTCGGGGGCGCCATTACAGGGTCCAACGGCCTGACGGTTTCAGCAGGTTCGGTATCTCTGCCCAGTGCGTCCGTGGCTGCCTCTGCTATAGGTAATCTCCCTGCATCTCAGATCACTTCAGGAGCCTTTTTGGTCGGAACGCACGCCGTGAACGTCTCGGCTTCCAACGCTTCGAGCACCCAATTCGGCCTCCTAAGCGGAGCAACAACAAACTCTGCACAATTTGGCTTGGCAGGAGGTGCATCGGCCTATAGCACAGACGCTGTGCTGGGCGACGCAATCCTACGGGCAAACGGTGGGAACCTTCTGCTTCAAACTGGTGTTAATGCGTCTGCCATCTGCATCAACAACACCAGCAACTACGTGGGTCTCGGGACCAAGAGCCCTCAGTATCAGCTGGACGTGGCTGGGACGGTGAATGCATCTGGTGCCTTCAATGCCGCCGCGACGGGCGGGCTGATTTGCAGTGTGACAAACATAGGGACAGGGACGGCAAGGTCCCTGGGCTCCTTCGCGTTAACCAAGAGCCTATGGTCGAGTGCCAATGGCCCTCTGGACACGTCTAACGTGCACAATTATGCAAGTCTGTCGAACATCTTCAGCGGCGGCACGATCCAAACTTATAATCTCAACATCAGTGGTTACATCAACATCCCAGCAGCAGCGAACTACACGTTTTCATCGGTTGGAGTCGACGACAGTCTCAGGTGGTACATTGATGGCAGTCTCGTTCTGTCCGCGGGTCTGAACCTGAATGGCAGTACTGTATCCTCAAGCACCATAACGTTTGCCACCGCCGGGTGGAAGAACATCACGATCGTGCAGCAGAACACGGGGGGCAATCAACAGTTCAGGCTCCAGTGGGCTCAGACCTCCGGCACGACGTTCGCGGCCACGGACATCCCAGGATCCAACCTCGCTTACGACCAGACTCAGTCGCAGAAAACGGCTTTGGGAGGCCCATGCTTTGCCGATCCTTACAACAACCGCCTCGGCGTCGGGACCGTGAGTCCCAACAACATGCTGCACGTGTCGGGGGGCACTGCACAATTCGACAGCAACGTCACCGTGGCAAACGCATTGACGGTGTCCGGGGCGATGACATGCGCGAGCAGTGCCATCGTTTCAGGAGGGACCGGTCCCACGTTCGTTTCCACTACCTACGCAGGAAGCTTGAACAGTGGGCAGTATATCATAAGCCCGTACGGAGTCGCAGGCTCCGCGAACAACTGTGGGTTCACCGGATTCAATTACACCGGTGGGGCGGGGGCTTCGACCAACTACTATGCTTTTGGAGTGCGGGGGTATCTGATGGGAAGCCAATCCTTCAATGCTTGTGCCAACGGCAACTTTGGTATCTGCACGACAACCCCCTCCTACCTGCTGGATGTGAACGGCACTTTCAGAGCCTCCACCGTTACGACATTCGGTGGAAGCTGCAATATCATGCCCGGCATCCTAGCAGTGAACGACCAAACGGACTCCGGTACCAATAGAGGCATCCGCTACTGGCAGGCGAACGACTCTAACTGGGCAACGTACATGTGTACGTCGGGGGCAGGGAAGTCGAGTGCGGGTGGCTCGACTTGCACCTCGTTGGACAACAGGACGGCTCATCATATCAGGAACAGGGTCGGTAATAACAACAATCAAGGCTTTTTATGGGAGAATTCGTCAGAGTCTTGCCTGATGTCGTTGACGGGCGACACGGGGAACCTGTTCATCAAGGGCACGATCGGATCTAGCTCCGTGCGGGTCGGAGGCACCGCATATCCCAACGGGGTAGACTGCACGAGCATCACGACCGGGAGCGGCTCGGCCACGTGCGGCGCGCTGAGTGCGTCGACCGGCGTCCTTGGCCAGAGCACGAATAACTGGGCCAAGCGGACCTTCAGCATCACTGGTCAGACCTTGTATTCGACACCTATGTGGTGGAAGATCGCAGCATTCTGGAACAACGGGGCTTATTGCTCCGGTTGCCTGACAATCACCGGCCTCCTCGGACATGTCTCAGGGCCGGTGAACTTCACTGCAAACATCGGATTCCATACTCAGAATCCGAGCTGGAATGCTTCACTCGTCCTCGACAGTCCGGACAGCACTGACCCATTTGCGTCAGGAACATTCGACATTGCACTCTACATTGACAACAGCAAGAACCTGTTCGTTTACGCAAAGCAAAACATGGATTATCTGACCATGAGCCTGGACGTCACCACTTGCCAATTCGAAGGAAACGTTCCTGCATCCTCCATCTAGCCATCGACGTCTTACTCGCTCGCATACGCGGCGACGAACACTCAGCTGATGGCAGCAGACACCGCGCTCACGTCCGTACTGAGCTCTTCCAGCTTCTACACGTTGTGCGGCTCCAACGTACGAAAGACAAAAGGGTCCGCCTCCAGCTTCGGGGGTGCAGTCACGTGCACGGGGTTCACTCTCAGTGCATCCGGTACTGGAAATACGACGACTATGACAAACTTTTCCCCTGTCTCAACTGGAAACTTCCAAGTCAGCTACTTTGGGGTATCGCAAACGGGCTCGTACAACTGTGCCTGGCATCTCTTCAAAAACACAGGTGGCTCTGGATCTACGTCCAACTACGCCGCATTCGGGGTGCAGGGGTACGGTGTCGGGACCGGTTCGTTCAACGCATGTGGCAACGGCAACTTTGGCGTCTGCACGGCTTCCCCATCTTACACATTGGACGTCAATGGCACGCTCTGGGCGAGTTCCAACTTTGCAGTTTCCGGGGGCACGGTCACTCTTCCCTCCGGGTCCGTTGCAGCATCCGCCATTGCGAGTTTGGACGCATCCAAGATCACTACGGGAACGTTCTCTGTAGGGGCATTCGGTACGAACCTTTCCACCACTGGAGCGCTTACTCTGCCCGGATTCTACTACAAATCGTACACCATTGCTTGCGACACGACCGCTGACTGTGCCTACGAGTTCGCATCCTTTACGACAGGAACAGCCACCACTCTCGATGTGACCATAGTGTCGCCCAAGACCACTGGCACCGAATTCACAAAAAGGTACTCGATCACGGTGGGGAGTAGTCTGCTGACGGCAGATGGTGCCTGGAGGCGATGCATACCATTGTCCGCTCACAACGGGCACCCCTTGGACAACGACTACGAGCTGCACGTGTCATCGCCAGGCACGAACAGTGTCCCTGGTGGATCTACCTATGACCTGAGGCTTCGACTGCTACACAGCATGGCAGGGGCCATAGCTTCTACATTAACCGTGAACGTAACAGCTTACTATGCCCAGGATGGACTCTTTGCGACTTCGACTCTGTCGAGTATCTATGTGGATGACACCTGGAGGACGCTCAGCTATCTGCCCTCGACCGCCATGAAACAATATGGAGGTCAGGTGGGGTTGGGAACCACCAGCCCATCCTACAAGCTAGACGTGGCCGGAAGCCTGCATGCATCCGGGGCAGTCACGTTCGATTCGACCCTGACGGCTGGGGCAGTTTCTACATCAGGGGCGATCACCACCACGGGAACGGGGACGTACGATATCGGAACGAACGCAAACAAATTCGGAAACCTCTTCACAGCTTAGATCTATCCTACCACCTTTGTCACGAACCTCGTTGCCGTAACCCATAACGCATATGATGTGGGAGTCTCGGGGGGCAACTACTGGAGGAATGCATACTTTGCTGGGACGGTGAATGCATCGACATTGTCCGCAAGCACGTACACCGGTCTCCCCAGAAAGTACTGGAATGCTACGACTCAAGGCCAATACAGTGCTACGCCCGGAACTCTTTACAAGATCGGGGTGCTTCCGGCTATCGGCGAGGCCTCTGGTGGTGGAGCGGTGAGGATTTGCGGGTCCATGGGAGGCTTTGGGACCAATCAGAGTGTTACGGTAGACTGCACAATCTCTTCGCGAGGTGGGTACGGAGTCAAGGGCTCAGCAAATGGATACCTTAGTGGCGCAAAAGCAAATGCAGACATCGTCACCTACGTCGAGACGAACGGCAAGTTCTCGATTTACCTCAAAAATCTCGGGACTTACGTCTGTTGGGATCTCAGCGTCGAACCAGCGAGTATCAATGCAACCGTCAATGAGCCAACTTCCAGCACTGCCACCGCAACTGGGACTCTCAACACATCATCTGTTCTCTCCGTGCTCAGCTCTGTTTTTGAAACAAGCACCTCAACTGCATCCTTTGGCAACTACTCTTTCTCTTCAAATGCCGCCAACCTCACCTGGGCATCATCGGGTACTGCTACTGGAGGCTCTATCTCTTGTGGCCCACTAACTTGTACCACTTTGTCCGGAACTACGGGAACCTTCAGCGGGGCAGTCTCCGGGACTACGGGAACCTTCAGCGGTGCACTCTCTGCGACGACGGGATCTTTTACGGGTCCTAGAGGTGCGTCGACAGGAGTCACGAATATCGCTTGCACTGCGACTAACACGAGCGTAATAGTTTCATCCACGTTTGCAGCAGGGCTCTCCAGCGCTCAATACATCATAAGCCCGTATAGAGTCAACACGACGGCGGCCAACAATGCTGGATACCTTGGGTTTAGCTATGTGGGTGGAACAGGCTCTTCAAACAATTACTATGCCTTTGGCTGTTGGGGATACACTATCGGGTCGCAATCCTTCAACGCTTGTGGAAACGGAAACTTCGGGGTATGTACAACTACTCCTTCGTATACTCTGGATGTTTCGGGTACTAGACGTTATACGGGCAGTCTCAACTGCGGAAACCTGACATGTGGCACCATCGGTACCCAAGGAAATTCGATTAGCGCCGGCACTATTGGTTGTACAGGAGTCAACCCTGGAAGCAGTGCAACATACGACCTGGGCACAAGTGCTCTCGCATGGCGCCATGAGTACCTCTCGGGAAATCGCTTCTGCTCTGGAAATGCTGGATTTACAGCAAACAGCACGGCTGCGCTCACACCGGCTGCCCCGTTCCATTTCTTTGGCGCCCAGGACGCAAATACAAACACCATGATCATCGGAAGTACTTCGACAGCAACGGGGCTGATCCTCGAAGACATCGTGAATGCAAAATGGCGAATCAACACAGGCGGTTATGCGCTCACTTTCTCCCAACAGACTAGCGGGACCACCAGCTCGTATGGTACTGCAAACTTTACAACTCGCGTAACTTTCAGCAGCAACACTTATGTCACTGCAGCACGAAATGTGTATGCTGGCTCGACCGTGTATGCAAACAACGTGGCCCTGACTTCGGATGCGAGGCTCAAATCCAACGTGCAGCCAATCCAGAGGGCCTTGGAGAGGGTCTGCAGGCTTGCCGGCAAGACCTTTGACTTTACGCCTCCCAACGTGACGCAAACACGCTCCAACGTCTCTGGGTTCATCGCTCAGGAAGTGAAGGACGTCTTTCCAGAGTGGGTGGTTGCGTGGGACAATGACAGCAACGTGCAGCCCGGTCAGGAACCCATGCTCGGAATCGATGTGGGGTATGGCCTCCAAGCGCACCTGGTCGAGGCGGTCAAGGAGCTTCGGAGCGAGAATGCGGAGCTTAGGGCGACAGTTGCACGGGTCACCGAGCAATCTGAGGAAGAGGAGCTGCGGTCACTGAGGCAAGAGGTTGCGGAGCTTAGGGACTTGGCAGCCTCGTTGGTGAACAGGGTGACAATCCGCGAACAGAGGGAAGGCTTGCAGTCTTAGGGAGTTGTCTGACGCTCAGACAGCTCAGACAACTCAGACAACATAGGCTTCTTATGTTGGAGTAAGGACTGAGCGTAGGAGCCATCCGCATACGAGCGGAGCTATTCTAAGAAACTACAGCCGATCGCTGATATTGCCACAACTTAGGAGGTGAAACGTGGGCAACGTGACAGCTTCAAACGTCTGCTTGCGAGCATCTGGGCCAACAACAACATTGGAGAGGTGAGTATCAATGACGAATCCTGTCACGTAGAACTAGTGAGGAGACATGTCACCAGATATTGCTTCAGAGGTGTACCAACGTATCCTGAGGTGGTTACAGTGATGTTCCAATCACTGATAATGCATGTGGTTGCATCGGTCAATTTGTCAAGGTTCCATTGGAACGGTTTGCTTCCACTTTGTTCCGTTGACAAGGACACTGAATTTGCTGGGTCTCAAAGGTACGAGACGTGCGTCTATGAGCTCTTCTTTTGTTTCGACAGCTCCTTTCAAGAAGATGGACCTCACCACCGCCATTCTTGCGCATCCAAGGGTTATCGCGGTTGACGTGGACTTGAACAGTCGCGCGGAGCTGGCGTCAGTATTCATCAAGGCATTTGATGACAAAGGGAACGAGTTCCCCATTGACTTTGATGATGCATGGCGCTTCTTGGGCTACAGCACCAAAGCAAATGGCCTTCGCAAGCTCAAGGGTGGAGGATTCAGGGAGGGCCTTGACTACAGGGGCACGAAAGGGGGGGTCATCCAGACGGATGAGGGGTCTTATGAGGGGTTCGCACCTGACAAATACTACATGACCATCAATGCATTTGAGCTCTTTGCCATGATAGCAATGACTGAGACAGGCAACAAGGTGCGGCAGTTCTTTCGAGCAATGAGGGACGCCTATGTCGAGTTGACACACATGCTGCAGTCAGGCACTGACAGAGAACAAGCATACATTTTAACGTACGAGAAGAAAAATTGCACTTACGTGGCTGCAATCCAGCAGCAGCCGCGTCTTTGCAAGTTCGGCTTCACTACAAACATCAAGGAGCGCTACAGTGCGCATCGGAGGACATTTACAACACCGTACTTCTTTGAGCTGCGCCACGTTGTCGAGGCAGACGACCCAAAGAAGGCTGAGGAGATCTTCAAGAACTTCCCGGACATCAAGGACAATGTCCAGCAGCTGAAGATAGGAGGCAGCATTCAGCGGGAGACTTCCTTAATGCCCGATACGATGACAGAGGAGAGGTTGTACTTCCTCATGAGAAAGGCGTGCCGGCAGTCGGCATCACAGGATATTGTAATGTCAGATTCACATGACTATCTGGAGATTGAGCGCGAGAAGACTCAGCAGATGCAGCTGCAAGTTCAACTACAGAGAGACGTTGAGCTAGAGAAATACCGGATGGACCACGAGTACCGAATGGAGGTTTTTAAGAGGAAGCGGTGCGAAGAGGACGATGAGGGCGGCGACACACCAGATCACGGTGGCAAAGCTCAGAAAGGGGTCACGCCAAGGGCCGGGCCCAAAGATGATGACAGCAGAAAGGAGCAGACGACGGACGAAGCAGCACTTGACGAGGAGGAAGAAGCGGTGGCATCGCATGATGACGAGCCGGAAGAGCCTCCAAGGGGCAGCAATGTTGAAGCCGGGGGCGAGGAAGAGAGGGAGGCGGTAGTAGACAACACCCCCGATGCTACACAATTCGAGAGGAATGTGCACGAGCATATCCGCTCATTGTGTGAGTTTGGGGTTGACGAGCGCTCGATGAGGACGGTGGACAGGTTCCGGACGGACCGGATCCCACTGTTTGAGGCGTTTGTTGAGAGGTACGGCAAGACCACCAGAAGAAAGTTCTACACGGCTGTGATTCGGTTGGAAGGAGTGACTTCGACTGTCTACAGCACTGGTGGTCGCCATGGAATAGAAGGCTTTTCGGGGATTCGTCTGAAGGACCGGCCGTCATCGGATGCTGACGAGGACCTCATCCTCCAGTTCATCCAAGAGGACTGCGAACTCGGTGACGACGACCTTCTCGTCAGCAAAGCCGATCTGTTTGAAGCACTTCAGGCGTTTGGAGCTGCAAGAGGATGGCAGAAGTTCCACAGGGGCCATGGCAGCACGATGTCAAAAGTGCTGACAGCGAAGGGTGTGAGGGAAGTTGACGTCCGTTGGCGTGGAGTCAACAGTCGGGTGTTTGCCGGCATCCGGCCAAAGAGGGGTTACCCAACACCTCAGGAGGTCTTCCGTCAGTTCCTGGGAGCAAGGACTCAGAAGAGGGAGGGAAGCCTTGTTAAGCGGGCTGTTCTCCTCAATAGGTTCTCCAAGTATGCAAAGGAGTGCTGCAAGGAGCTGGTAACACCCCTCACCAGCTTAAAGATGACCCAAGAGATGGGGGTTTTTGGCTTCAAGCTGGTGACGGCAGGCAGAGACATGTGTTTTGAAGGTTTGTACTACATTTTGTACTACATTTTGTACTACATTTGTAGTACATTGACTAAGAGGCATGCATCTGATAGAGTAGTAGTGCTGATGCAGGTCGGCCTTGGGCTTTTGTTGTAAGCTGCGTTTTAACAAGCTCCTTCGAACTTGTATGCAACCGCACAATCTGCATCTGTCAATATTGTGCAGCCCTGCCCGTTGGCAGTGGCGGAAAAAGTCGTCATGCGTGGTGCATACGATTCAATCACCCCAAAAGTATTGTTCACATCACCCGCTAATGAGCTGTAGAATATCCTCAGATAACCAGCCTTTGACCCACCATAAGAACCGTTCAGATTCTTTGCGAAAACGGTCAATATGCCAGCCTGATTTCTCTCACCCAGAGGCAGTGGGATGCTGTGATTCGACCCCACCGCATCAAAGCCAGATGAGACCACAAAAGGTCCTGCAGCGTTACTACGGGTCCCTGTCAGCGGTCCAAGGCTAAACGTGCCCGCTGCAGTCAGATTGCTGCATGAGATACCTGTTGACAGTGTTGTGACATTGGTCGACAGCTCGGTTGTGATATTGAGCTGGCTCAATGGCGAAGGGGTCTGATGTAACGGTACGGAAGCCGACCGCCTTAGCCGCTCGGCTATGCATCCAAAAAGCTGTCGACTGGATGCACACTAAGGCGCTTCCGTAATTTATATATCGATTTCGCTTCGGCCGTCCGCGCGTCGCGGCCGGGTTA